CTTGCCGACGCTGAGAGGAGGATAACAGAACAGACGCAGCGGCTCTCTACGGCAGAGGAGAGGGCTGTTGGTTCCGAGGAAAGCTGTCTGGCTCTGACCCAGGAGCTGGACAGGATCAGGGATGAGGCACAGAACAGGAAGTCCAAGGAGCAACTCCGAGAAGAGTTCGCCGATGACGTGTTCCCCGCTCTTGAGGAAAACAGCAAGGAGTTCTTCAAGAAGGGGTGGGACGAGGCGCTCCAGTCTGCTGGGATCCCGTCAGACTCCGCGCTCTTTCAGATGCACAAATACGTGCCCTCGGCGGAGATGGAACAAGCCGAAGCCGAGATTGCTGCCGAGGACGTGAATCCAACGCCGGTGTAAGATTCGGTTGATCCGCCCAAGCCGAAAATCGTGGATTTATCTGACGAGGCTATGCCGGAGTGGGCTCCTGACCATGTTATTCCTCAGGCTCTCAGTGTTGTCGAAGTGCCTCCCATTCTGCCCACTCCCGAAGATGCTCAACCCCTTTACGCTGATTCTCCCTTGGACGATGTTTTGGAGATGCCCGGGGCCAGATGAAAGCTCTTTTTTCTTTTTGATTGTACTTTTTTCTATTGTAGCTTTGGGGACGCAAAGCCCCTCTTTTTGAATGAACTTTTTTGTACTTAATCATTTCTTGCGTACACCTTTGTAGAAATCCTTGAACTGTCCTCAGGGCCTTGCTCATCCAAGAGGCTTGCTCTCGTGGTTGTTTCGGGGACAAGAGTCCTTGAACTCTGTCCCCAGGGTCTTGCCCTTTCAGGAGGCCTGCTTCTGTGTTTGCTTCGGGGGCAGGAGTCCTTGAACTGTGTCCCCAGGGCCTTGCCCTTCCAGGAGGCTTGCTCCTGTGTTTGCTTCGGGGGCAGGAGTCCTTGAACTCTGCCCCCAGGGCCTTGCCCTTCCAGGAGGCTTGCTCCTGTGTTTGGCGTTCCAAGCGAACACGTCTGCATTTTCCTTAAAAACTCAATCATCTCCCCCTGTTCGGCTGTGGGCATCACGGTTCCAACTAAGAAATGTCTTTCTTCCTCTCCCTCCACCAAGGGCACCTTCCGGAGGTCCTCCACCGACTGCTCAGTTGGGTCTATCCGGAGGTCATCCATTCCTGGACGCCCGGACTGTGATTGCTATTTCTCCATGATCTCTTCCGGGGCTCGCCCCTTTTCTTGGGTGAACGCCCCAGCTCTAACAACTGAATAAAAACAATTTTTTGCGGACGCTTGGTCCCCCCGGATTTCCATGATACCTTCTGGCGTGACCAATTTTAGTTTCTGGTGGTAAGTGGAGTGCACCGCTCTCAACACATGCAGTCATGTTTGCCCCATGATCACGTTGTAGGGAGAGTCCGTATCAATTACGACAAACTCGGTGTTGATGACGAAGGGACCTGTGACAACTAACAATGTGATTTTGTCTACGGGCAGGGCGAACGAGTCGTTGAATCCGATGAGGGGTGTCTTGACCTTGGTGAGGTCCTTGAGGCCAAGACCCATCCGTTTTAAAGTCTCGGAGTACTTCACTTCCGAGGAACTTCCAGAGTCTATCAACACCCTTTTGACGTTGAATTTTCCTATCTTCAGAGTCAAGACAAGAGCGTCGTTATGAGGAGTCACTACGCCTGTCAAGTCCGTGTCGGAGAACGTGATGCTGGGCTCACCAGCCCTGGCCCTTTTACTGGGTGGCCCTCCATCATCCTCGGCTACCTTCCTTGTAAAAGCTACCCTCTTGAGGTCGGACTCGAGCTCCTTGGACGTGGGGCGATCTAGGGGACATACATGGATGACATCTATGACGTTGTCCGGCTCCTCGGTCAGGGCAAGGGTGTGTCTCTCTTCTGGCCTGGGCTCTATGTATTCTTTCAAGTATCCGTCTCGGACCAATTTTTTCAAGAACGATTTGTATACCCTGCAGCTTTCGGTGCGATGTCCAAAATTTCGGTGATAGAAACACCTAACCTTTTGATCACGGGTGGAGGGATCGCTCTACATCCTGGGCGGCCACTTGAAAAATGGCTCATGCTTGATTTTATGGAGCAACTTGAAGATGGGTTCCTTGAACATAGTATGAACCCCTTTGGACGAACTCCCTAAAGGGGGTAGCAATCCCTTTCGGGGAGTATCTTCTCGCTCCCTCTCCGTTCTCTTAGATTGGAGGGTTCAGCCTTTGTTGCTTCTCATCTCATCCTCGATCCTTGAGTATTTGTTTATCTGGGCCATAAGCTCGCCCATATCCGAGGGAGTCTTCTTGGTCAGGGATCGGTACAGGTCCGTGTCCCTCGCCAAGCCGAGTCTGAAAGACGCTGCTGCCATGACTTTCGAGCAGCCTTCTACCTCATTTATCTCTTTTCAGTATCGGATGACATACTGGCGAAGGGTCTCGGATTCCCTACGTCTGAGCGTTAGCAATGATCCAACATCTTTGGGCCGCTTACTCCCCGTAATGAATCGAGCCAGGAACTGCCTCCTCAATTCCTTCCACGATCCAATACTGTTGGGGGAAGCGCCTCGAATCACTTCATCGCAAAGTCCCCCAAGCTCATAGGAAACACTCGGCAGAGGAATCGTTGGTCCGAATGATAGAGGGACATCATCTGCTTGTATTGCCTGAGATGGGCTTCGGGATCGGACTGCCCGTCATAAGTTTTGAACCTGGCATGACAAACTTTTTTGAAACCTCTATCTCTCCGATCTCCCTGGTAAAGGGTGTTTGTATGACCTTGTCTTCGACCTCATCCTGGACAGCCTTACTCTTTCTCTTGGATTCCAACCGGGCTCTGAGATCAATTTCCTCCCTGACGGGATGTCTTCTGAAGTCTTTGAGTTCTTCAATAGGCCCCCCATTTCCTGGGCGCCTTGTGGATAGGGTAGAATCCTCCTCGGACTCATCTCCCTTCCTCCGTCTAGACAATCCTCGCCGGAAGTCCTCCAGGGCTAATGGTCTTGCCTTCCTTGAATGGTCGTTAGGAGGGTGCTCGTTGGCTCTCGGTCGCTTTGGGACCCTGGAGCTTTATGCCTTGTTGTTTAGATGATTCCTTAGATCCTTCGTTTTCACCTCCCCGGCGGGGAGCCCACAAGAGAAGGAATGAGTCCCTCGACCCTTCACCGGAGGCGGCAAATTCGTTGAGCCGGCTTAAGACGTTTACATTGTCCTTTTCCAACTGTCGAAATCTATCGCCAAACTTTTCTTCGATCACCTCCGCCAGCTGACGAGCCAAGGGGGCTGATCCTCCTGACCTGATTCTCATACTGGTTTGAGGGGTAACCCCTCTTGACTGAGTAGAGGCATTTTTATTCCCATCAGTGTGATCCCTTCCTCTGTGGTGACAGGGAGCTTGTAATTCGAGACTTCTTTGGTGGGGACCTTTCCCTTTTTGTCGAGTGTTCACCATGGTCACTGTTCTTTATAGAGAAAAAACTAGGAAAACTAGTCGTTTCCCACAGACGGCGCCAGATTGTGCGTGCTAGATCTTGCACAATATAAAAACGAGAACAGATCTCTCCCTTTGTGAACTCGAGTGAGTCAGTTGAGTGGTCAACCACGCTGCTTGGAACAGCCTGTGAGATCCGGTGATAACCTGGAACGGTAATGGAAGACCCTCGCGGATCAAAGGAACGATCCAGTAAGGCTGAAGAAAGGTTCCTGGAACAAAGAGAACAAGTTAGAAGGGCGCCGGAGTGTTTTCCGGCGTATCCCCTCCAACGATCAAGTCAGTTTTTGAGAGAGAGAGGAAGAAGAAAACACTGAGTATAATTTGTAGCAAAAGTTTCACCTCTCGTTCTTGCCTTTAGTGAGGAGTATTTATACCTCAAATACTCATGATTGTTGTCAGTGTGGTCAGTAGGTGATCATTAGATACAGGCAACGTGCGCACTGATTCCTATGAGGAATGTCTTCTCTCTTAACTGCTCGGGACCCCGAACAATCAAGTCTGTGTCATCGGCCTGCCAACGGTTAAATGAGCTCCTCTCGGGGAGGATGAAATAAATGCCCAGCCTTAGAGACATTTATTGCCTTTCACTTCTGAGCCTTACCGCATTGAATGCAGTCTTATCAAGGGAATGGTGTAATTAAATGCTTGTTTTCCCAAGTCGCTGTCAGCAAGGTCATGCGGTCTTTCTGTCTCTGATGTGACACAACATGCCACGCATCCATTCCTCATTGGCTGTGGCTCCTGCCTTCCTGTGCCTTCTGACATCAATTGTGTAAGACGAGGTCATGATAGCTAACTTAGCCTAGCCTAGGCTAGTGACCAGTGCATCAATAATCTCTGCTGGAGCAGAAAACTTCATCATGGATGAGAGGGGGGTACATCTCGGTACCGAGGAAGAGGTACATCTTGAATCTGAGAGGGGGGAGCCTAGCGACCGATGTACCATATCAAACCGAGGGTACGTGTCGGTACATAAAACGTACTGGATGTCACTCGATCCCATGATAAGTAGCTCAGGATAGAGGGGACTGTGACCCCGATGGGTATGTGATCTCGATAAACAAGGATCAGTGACACCGAGGACACGTGTCTACATCTTGGAGTATTTCAAAAATGTCTCATCATCAATATTATTAATACGATTTGAAGAAAATATATTTAAAAAAAATCTGACATCTATGCAATGGAGGGAGGGGGGAAGTGGAATTTGAGGTTTGAACCCTCACTCGAGCAAGTTGTGTTGACTTGGGAAGTTACCGTGAAAATAACAAGGAAATTTGGGGGAAAATTTTGAATCTCAAACAACGCGCTTTGGTGACGTCACTGAAAACGGCATCAACGATTCAGACGCCGTGACTCCTACGTTCACCTTTGCACGGATTAGAGACACGTGTCCTCTTTTGTGCCCTAAACCCAATCACCGACCCGATTATCAAAAAAACACCAAAGAACAATTCCTTCTCTCTCTAAGCTTGTCCGTCTGCATATAAGAGCCCTGGACAGGGAGAGAAGCCCATCCAGACCAAGAAAATGCAGCGAAGACTATAAAGCACCCCCCCCCCCCCAACCAAAACCAAAAAAAAAAAACACACAAAAACAAAATTGTACTGTCTCCCTCTCTCTCTTTACGTTGCCATTTGTTCCAGGACCTTTCAGAACCAAATAAACTTTAGCAATCGGGTAAGGTTTTTGATTTAATCTCTCTAATTTTTGTTGAATCTCTCTCTCTCTCTCTGATCATCTAGGGATTTGTTATTTATCTAGGTTTCAAATATGGCTTATGGATTTACTTGATTGTTCAATATGGTCTTTGGAGTCATGTATGCAATAGTTTTGTATGAGAGCGGTGCGTTTTGATTAATCGTTTTGTAATTGATTGAGATGGTAAGAATTCTTGCGATCGCTTTCACGGCTAGGGCTTGGAACTCCATTTTTCCCCCAAAAAACCAGAATCCTTTTGGATTCTGAGGGCTCAAATTCGAGTTTTTCACTGATGATTGAATGCTTCATAGCCAATTATGATCTTTCGAGCTTTCATTCTGAACTTCTTCTTTTTTTTTTAAATCTGAATTCAGATCCATGCTCAGCTTAAAGTTTAATCTAACGATTGTTTACGAGAGTATAAATATTTTTGTTTTCACTGTTCTACAATCTAATAAATGTTGAATTTCATATAATTGTTTCCTTAGATTAGGAGCAAAATCTGCAAATTCAATGCAAGATTGAATATGGGGGGTAAGGTTATGAGTTACAGGTTAAAAGGAAAGAAAAATAATGGAAGTTCATTTCTAATACCGAAATCTGAGTCATTCTTTTGGTTCGTTATCAAAACTACTGAAACCATAGGGAATTAATCGAATCCTTAGGGCTTAAGTTTGGTGATATGGATGGGGATAATTACTTTCCGTTATCTCTTCTGTGAATGATGAAGCGTGTTTCCTTGGTAAATTTTCTGTGATTTGCCTCTGAACATAGCAAAACCTTAACAGAATAATTACCACATGAGCAGCAGGGAGGTAAGAGGAATCATACATGTTTTGAACTAACAATGAATTTGGTGTGACTAGGTTCTCGGAAAGCACTTTCTTTGCATGATCAGGGGTTTGGAGGTTGTGATTCCCATTATAGCATGAGTACTCGAGATGTAAGGGCAACTCCTAGAAGGCATACGAGGAATCCGCGACACAGTAAGAGCGCACTAGATGTGGACCTCAATGCTGTGCCAGTGAGTGAGAACGCAGACCAGGAGGGGACTTCGGCTCATGGGGGGTCTCAGAATGTGCAAGCTGGCCTACAACGCAGCTCTGTACCATCTGTGGCGATTGATCTCGAAGCTTTTGATGATGATGTTATTATATCTTCTTCCAGTGCATTTGCTGAAGTATGTCTTTTGTGCGCTTTACATACACATAAACACGAACTGACATATGCATAAACATGAATTGACATATGCATGGACACGTGGAAAAAAGAGTCTATTTAGTGCACATAATTTCGGTATTCTTATAGGTATAGTCTTATAAATGATAATTGCTAATTGTAGGCAAATCTTCCATTTCATGTCAGGCTAAAACCAATTCCAGAAAGAATCGTGGAAGGACTGTCGTAGTTGATGTAGATTCAGGTAGTCCAAGTTTTTCTTTACTATTTCTGTTTACAGTTGTTTGTGTAGCTCTGTATGTAGTGGCATGTGGAATCCGTTTTTTTTCCTCTTTATGTTTTATGTTTATAGCTTTTTGTTTAGTTTTGTATGTGATGGGATGTTGGGCTTTTATTTAATCCTTTTTCTTTGCATGTTTTTCTTTGTTCAAGTTTTGTAGCTCTCGGTAATATCTGCTGCAGTTGGGTAACTCTGGAATCCAACTGTGGTAGAGCTTGTTGGCAGTAAATACAGTAGCACTTGTGAATATTCTTATTTTTCCTTCTTATGACCATAAAATTACGTTCCTGATATTTGTTTTTTTTTTTTTTGATGTTCTTTTTCTTTCTTCTTTCCTTATTCTTGGAGGTTGAATTCTGATTATAAATAATTATCATTGCAGAAGAACAGTCATCTAGGTTGACTCTTAATAATCGCAACAAGCGTTCAAGGGTTTCTGCAAATCAGACAATTATAAATTGTGACTATTACATAAACTTGGAAGGAAGTAGCAACTCTATGGTAATAAAAAATTTCTTCATGCTTTTTCCCCTTTTTGCAATGTTTGGGTGGAAAATTGATCTAGTAATTTGTTGACACTATTAATAATATTTTTCCTTCTTGTTTTCTTCATGGCTACAAAAGATTTTTGTTTTCAAGTATTAGGACTGAACCAACAGTCTACGCAGCTTTATTTGCTGCCCATTTACTGTAGGCAACTACTTTTATGTTTATTTATCTTTCATTTACCATTTGAATCGTATGTTTTTTAAGTTATTCTGCTGGTGAGAAGGTTGTACATAACTTCTGCATTCTTCTCTAGATGGTCATATGTTAGTAAGTGGCCTTTTCATATTCTGAATAAAATATCCACCCACATCTTGTGTAGTGGGATTCAATAGCGGAATAGATGTTGTTTGTTCCATGTCCTTTATTTATAGATTTTGGAAAGCAATGCATAAAATTTCCTGTAGAAAAGGAATCCATTAATTTTTGTGGAAGCCAAAGTGATCAGATTCTATTCAAAAAAAAGTGATCAGATTGATTTCTTTTTCTTACGACGATTATTTTGGGAACATATTATCCATATTTTAAGATTTATTATTTATGTTTAAATTCGCAGAGAGAGAATGTGCAGAGTATGGCGCCACCTCCTCTGCCCCCGCCACCGCCACCAAAAGAGCATATCTTCAATTGTGCTATTTGCCTGGGTCCATTAGTTGAGGAAGTGTCTACAAAGTGTGGTCATATTTTTTGTAAGGCATGCATTAAGGCTGCAATAAGTTCTCAGAGCAAATGCCCTACCTGTCGGAGAAAAGTCACCATGAAAGATACCATTAGGATCTACCTTTCTGCAGCCAGTTGAGTGCAAGGTATGTCTGTACGTCTTTCTAATTATTTTTTTTCTGTCTGATGAAGTTTGTTTTGTTAATTATGTAAGGTTGCTCTTTTTTGTACCTCAATCTTTCTGAGGGGAAAAAAGGATGAGACATATTTGGAAATCTTAGTTAAGTGCGTATATTTGAAGTTAGACATATGTGTGACTCATCATTAGCTAGCATAACTTGATGACTGATAAGCTGATCTACACAGGTTAAAACTGCAGCATAGTGCTTTTTACCTGTCAGTTCATGAATTTTTATTTTGGTTTAAGATTTACTAGGTTAACCGAGATTAAGAAATAATACAATATGTTGCCTATCGAGAAAAAATGGAACCATACGTATATTATATGACGGCACAGCCTCATTTTTTTATGCATTGCATGAAAATTGAACATTTCTTTTGAAAATTTGTTTCCACTGGTTATTGATTATAAGATTGGAAGAACATTTGAGTTTCAAACAGTCCCAAAGAATTGATTATTTTTGTGGATGCTGATGAACTTCTATACTTCAAGAATCTAGAACTTTCTTTCTCTTTTCTTTAGATTTGAAGTGTGATTTTTGATCCTCGTTGAAATTTTTGCTTGTAAAAGAAGATTTATTACTTGCTGAATGTAAGTACCATGTTGGAAATGCATTGGATGAGTACCTCTATGGACTCTTGTGTCAAACCCCACTTGGATGTGTCCGACGTTGAAAATGGATATTATAATTTTAGATACTTGGTCATCATAAGTTTGAAAAAGTATTATAGTGGATAATTGTGTCTGATATTTATTGAATTCCATCCTCCAAAACCTGCATTTTCTGGCATAAATTTTGAAATTAATCAGTTATGGATTTACCTTTGATGCATACTTTTATTTTATATTGGGGTGCCTCCTCCCTTTCCCCTTCCCCTTCACTCCCCCTCATGCCTCATCGACAAATTATGGTGTAGACTCCACTTGGCTGTAATCTAGGTGGGCGGTCCTCCAAAGTGCAATGGAGGCTGCCAACCTAGGCCATGGGCTTTAGTTATACGTTGCCATGCATAACTTCATAAGATCTGCCATGTTTAGATATCCATGGTGAGACTTGTCAGAGTTGTGTGTCCACCATGTTTTTGCTGACCGAGTCACAACCTAGTAGTGAACCTGCAAATATTCTTATAAGTATGTAGATGATTCGTCTTCTCAATGATAGTTCTTGGTTTTATCATTTTTGTTTCACCTGCTAATGGACTATGTCTATTCTTTGGCAGGCATTTCGAATTTTACTGCTCTTACTTGAAGCGGAAGTGTTGATAGATACAGGCTGCCTTGCTGAGCTTTGAGAGGAATGAACCCATGGTTTTTGGTGGTTTTAAACTCTTGGTGGGTTTTGGATGTTGAATTCACGAAGTAGTAGCTTTTTGGTTTATAAACGAAAGGGCATATTGGCAATATCGACTTTTGGTATGAATTCAGTCCCAATTGGTTGGTGGGGGGCTTTAGGTGATTTAGAAATCTGGGTGTCATCTGTCTCTCACTTGGAAGAAAATAACCTTTTTAGTTAAGTTAATGATCATGGTTATTATCTTCTGTTTTTTTTTTTTTTTTCTCCAGATTTTATTGAAAGATCTGGAATTTATGAGAAGGATGGATGCCGAGGGAAAGTGATATATGGGCCATGGGCTTTCTGGCATCTATTAGATGGTTTCGTCGCTTCAATTTTTTTTTCTTTTTACATAAATAAAGCAGACCCATCTTAAACCAATGAGGTTGAGTGATGGATCCTTAATACGTATATAGGTCACAGCTATTCGAAAATATTTCAGCTACACTCTTTTTAGATTAATTTATTTTCAAGGACATTCTTTTTGTTTTTTGAATCTTCACTAACACTTTTTTTTAGTTTATTTATTTGTTGCACATACACCCCTTAACCTAATTTTACCGTTATGGATCACTCAAAAAATGTTGATGTCATTCTAGGTTATTTTCAAAATACCCAAATTATCCATGTCTTTTTTATCCCTCCCTTTCTCTATATGATATGAGATTAATTTATTCCATTTTAGTGACGGACTCGTACAAGTTAATTAATTTTGGACACAAACATATAAATGATGCGGCTTGTTACTACGGATAATAGGATTTAATGATTAAACCAAAATAAAACGATTTAATGATTTACATGTTTAACAAGTGTTAAAAAATAAACTTCAATTTTTGTTATTTTTTATCAAATATTGATAGAATCCTCATACAAAAAGAAATTTTTTTGTATTTAACATGTGTAATTTTTAATTTATGAAAAAATATGACAAGTTCGATTAAGATATAATAAAATCTTAAACTTTAATTTTTTATTTAATGGTTATATGAATCAACACAAATATGATTTGAAAATAAATAGGTTAAGTAAATACGACATAATTAGTTAAATGTGTTGAATTCGAGTTGACTACTGTTTGGCATGAACCTATATATTTATATACTAGGGGTAATTTGTGTCCGATAGCACACTGCAATGTGAATGATTTTTTAAAGAGATGTTAGTTGTTGTTGGGTGGGTTTATTTGAAACCGTTGAATAAGTTTATTGAAACTTATCTTATTTTATATTATATATAATATATTTGATTTGTATTGTTAATTTTTGTATATCTGATGGACAACAATGGAAAAACACTTTATGTTGTTAGTATCAACAAACAAACACTTGCAAGGAAGAAACACTTTATGTTGTCATTGTTACAAAACGAAAACTTACGAGGTATGTCAATAAAGATTCAAAAAATAAAAAGAATGTCCTTAAAAATAAAGAAAGTGTGCGCGCTAGATGTTGCACAATATAAAAACGAGAACAGATCTCTCCCTTGGTGAACTCGAGTGAATCAGTTGAGTGGTCAACCACGCTGCTTGGAACAGCCTGTGAGATCCGGTGGTAACCTGGGACGGTAATGGGAGACCTTCGCGGATCAAAAGAACGATCCAGTAAGGCTGAAGAAAGGTTCCTGGACCAAAGAAGAACAAGTTAGAAGGGCGCCGGAGTGTTTTTCGGCGTATCCCCTCCGACGATCAAGTCAGTTTTTGAGAGGAAGGAAGAAGAAAACACTGAGTATAATTTGTAGCAAAAGTTTCACATCTTTTTCCTTGCCTTTAGTGAGGAGTATTTATACCTCAAATACTCATGATTCCTGTCAGTGTGGTCAGTAGGTGATCATTACATACAGGCAACGTGCGCACTGATTCCTATGAGGAATGTCTTCTCTTTTAACTGCTCGGGATCCCGAGCAATCAAGACTGTGTCATCGGCCTGCCGATGGTTCAATGAGCTCCTCTCGGGGAGGATGCAATAATTGCCTAGCTTTAGAGACATTTATTGTCTTTCACTTCCGAGTTTTATCGCATTGAATGCAGTCTCATCAAGGGAATGGTGTAATTAAATGCTTGTTTTCCCAAGTCGTGTGTCAGCAAGGTCATGCGGTCTTTCTGTCTCTGATGTGACACGATATGCCACGCATCCATTCCCCATTGGTTGTGGCCCCTGCCTTCCTGTGCCTTTGACACCAATTGTGTAAGACGAGGTCATGATAGCAAACCTAGTCTAGCCTAGGCTAGTGACCAGTGCATCAATAGCCTCTGCTGGAGTAGAGAACGACATCCTGGACGAGGGGGGTACATATCGGTACCGAGGAAGAGGTACATCTCAGAGCCGAGGAAAAGGTACATCTCGGAGCCGAGGAATAGGTACATCTCGGAGCCGAGGAATAGGTACATCTTGAAGCCGAGAGGGGGAGGCCTAGCGACCGATGTACCATATCAGACCAAGGGTACGTGTCGGTACATAAAAACGTACTGAATGCCACTCGATCCCCATGATCAGTACCTCGGGAGAGAGGGGACTTGTGACCCGATGGGTACGTGATCTCGGTAACAAGGATTAATGACACCGAGGACACGTGTCTTCATCTCGGAGTATTTCAAAAATGTCTCATCAATTGCCCCCCAGCCTTCGATCTTCTGACACCGAGGACACGCGTCGTAAGGAGACGAAGGGTTTTACAACAACCTCAACTGCTTTATCATTGCTTCTAGCCGCTTTCCCCTGCTTAGGACGTCGTGCGCATTAAATGCGCCTTTTCGTGCTTCGCGCCCAATGATGGGATAGGTGCTATATATAAATGGGCTTGCTCTCTTCTTTTCTCATTTCATCGTTCTGAACTTTTCTTCACAGAGCCCTCACCGGAGACTTCGCCGGAGATCCCTTTCCTTCCGTTGTCAACTGTCCAACCATTTCACCGGAGTTTTAAGGCCAGCAGACCCATCCTCGCTTTTGAAACATTCTGGAAGGAGTCGCTTCAAATTTCCCAGAAAAAACTTCTTTTTACATTCTGGTGAGTGCCAGTATCTTTCCTTTCTTCATCCTTCTGTCCCTTTTGGTTTTCCGATAACTGGAGGTGCCTTTGGTTGCCACTTAGCGACCAATCCTCGGGAAGCTTCCTTGGGGACCTTTAAGGGAAAAAACATCCTCCACTTTTTCTCACTTTCTTCGAGATGCCTCGTCGTCGCCCTGCCCCCGAGAATCCTCAGGCCAGTTCTTCGGGGTCAGGAAAATATAAAGTAAAGGGTGGTGAGTAAATTAATAGGTTTAAGGTCAAGTACAACATCCCACAGTATGTAGACATAGAGGATTATAACCCGGCTGTGCACTCTCGTGCCCTCGATACCGAGGGTGCAATGCCCTTTTATACCAAAGTCATCATAGAAGGCGGAATTAGATTCTCTTTGCCCCCTCTACTTCTCCAGTTCCTCTCCCATTTCCACTTTTTTCCCGGGCAGTGTTGCCTTAATGTCTTCAGGATAATTATGGGGGTCCTAGAGCTTAATAGGCGTCTCGGGGTGAATGTTGGACTGAATGATATCCTTTTTTGTTATTCCCTCTTAAGAGTCATGCCTCAACAACACTTCTACCTCAAAGCCAGGGACCCATCTATGTACCTCGTAACTCACCTTTCCGACTCGGAAAAAGGGTACAAGGATGACATACTTATCTTCAAGGGATCTTGGCAGAGAGGTGTCGGTCCCGAGTATAACAGCTTGTTATGCCATTTGGAATGGAGAACGACAAGTACGTCGGTTCCTTCGGGTCTATTATTTTGTTCTTGAGATTTTCTATGTTCATGACTCCTTTTTTGTTTGTGCAGACGTCCCTGCTCGGGAAACAGCTCCTCCCCCTCGGTCGTTGGTGAACTTTGTCGACCTAGTCACAATTTGGAGATTTACTGGTGACGACGGGTTCGGCCGGGCTGCCCACATCCTCCTGAATTACACTCCCGGATATAAGAAATTTTCACAGCTTCCCCAGCCTTTCGAGCCTTCGCAATGGTCTGAACTCTTTGATCAGGCGGTGGGACAAGAGGGCGAGGAGAATTTGGAGGAAGACCCTGACCGAGCTTCGGAGGCAGAAGTAGAGGGTGAAGTTGAAGCGCTCGGGGTCAGAGAGGACTTGGTTCCTTCGCCCGCCGAGGTGGGGACTTCGAGGAGAGATTCGTGGCCAGACTTCCAAATTTTACAATCTCTAGACGCCGAAGACGCTCTTGAGATAGCCATGTCCAGCACGCCTCACATTGATCTAGGGTTCCTGAAGCAGAGGCAAGCCCTTGCTGCCGGGAGAGGACGAGGATCGACCGGTGGGGCCCCATCTGCAGGGACCAGCACCACCCCATCCTCAAGAGTCGTCAGTAGGGGGCAAGTGCGTGACCGAGATCCTCAGGTAGAGGAGGAGAGAAGGGTCAAACATAGGCATGATGGCCTTGGCAGGGGATCTAAGGCACCCTCCGCTCAGCAGCAAAGTGGGAGAGGCCGTGGGTTACCTCCTGGTCCTCAGTAACAACAGCAACAGCAACAACAGCAGCAACAACAACAACAACAGCAACAGCGGCAACAACAGACTCCTCCTCCCCTTCCGCCGACAGTGGAAGTCGCGGAGTGGAATCCTCGAGCCACTGATCACATGAACCGAGTGATCAGGGTCGATGACTCCATTTTCCAGGACCCCCATGTCGCTAATGCAGTGAGTGAGACGCTGCATTTCGAGGTCGACATGGTGGCTCACAGGGGGCGATCAACGAACGTGTTGTTTCGTTCTATCATCCAGAATTTCCTGGTGGTAAGTTTCATCTTTGCTATAGTCTTTTTTTTTTTTTTAGCCGCTTTTCTTTTTAGTGACGTGCCTTTTTCCTTTACAGGCCACCCAACAGATCTCCATAATAGCGGCGCGGTATCATAGGCTAGGATGGACCTCCAGCGGGTCCAAGAGCAAAAGGAAGAAGCGGAGGGGGCCCTCACCAGTGCTAAGGAGGACGTAGCTGCCAGAGATTCCACCCTCGTAGGGCAGACTGCTCAAATCGAGCAACTCCTCAAGGATGCCGAGTTGGCTAAGGTCGGCGCTGAAAAGCTAAGTGCTGCCCTTGTCGACGCTGAGGGGAGGATCACAGAGTAGACGCAGCGGCTCTCTGCGGCGGAGGAGAGGGCTGTTGGTTCAGAGGAAAGGTGTCTAGCTCTGACCCAGGAGTTGGACAGGATCAGGGCCGAGGCACAGAACAGGAAGTCCAAGGAGCAACTCCGAAAAGGGTTCGCCGATGACGTGTTCCCCGCTCTTGAAGAAAATAGCAAGGAGTTCTTCAAGAAGGGGTGGGACGAGGCACTCCAGTCTG